CAAAACTTGACTATTTTTCTATAAGTCAAGTAGAAATGTGACTAAAAAAGTTTGATTTAGCTGCACTGAAGGCAAAAATGGCTCTCTGGATTGTAAAGGTTGCAGACCCTTGAAGCCATTAGTGGATCGGTTTGGTCCCTTTTTAGCAGCTGATCACTTCTTTGCACAAAAGTTAATACCAAACAATAGAGCCTTATGAGATCACTTAAAGAACATCAGAGCAGCAATAAGAGCACAGGAAGATTCAATTTGTCCTAAATACTAAAAACTTCCTACATTCTTGTAAACAGAGACTGCAGCTGATTGGGGATTGGTAAAGCCTGGACTTCTGCAAGTAACACAGCAGCTGAAATAACAGTGACAAATTTAATGATGCTTCGAAAACGTTTGCACATTTATATCTTGATCCTCAAAGCATGACGTTCCCTTATACCTTGCAGCCTCTTGTATCAAGCTGCCCAATATCAGATATTTAATCTAATTTGATGGCATGCAGAGCTGAAAACTCAACATTTACTTGTCTTTTTTATGCACTATGGATCCATATTTTGTTTGCCATGTTTGTTGTTGTGTACAGGATGTTTTTTTGAATGCAACCTCTGGGCTGTGTGCAGCCAGGAATGAAAGCAGAACACACACACCATAAAAATGTAGCAATCAATTCAAATTACTGTCTCTCCTCCTCCTCCTCGTCTTCTTTGTTCTCTGTCTGTGAGCACATCTGTGCTATGCAGGCATTCTGGCTCTTTTGGCAGAACAAAATTCACCCAAAAATCCAGCTAATACCTCTGAATAGACTGTACAGAACTGTGGACTTCTGTATTTTTGTTCAAGAACGCAACTAATATAAAGCAACAAGAATAAATTAGGCTGTTACTTGTTGAGTGACAACATCCACCAACTTTTACTTTTACAAGACTCATTTAAAAAGGGCAACTAAAAAACAGCTAGGTCATCAATCATTTCAGTACCTAACTGCAAATTTCATCTTTAACAGTAACCCTGTCATAATAACCAATTAATTAATCAAATGATCAATTAGAATGGGTTCAATAATTTCCATTCTCATGATTAATATTTTTTCAGGGGCAATTGTTTTTTAGAGTCCACAATCTTTTTTATTTATAATTTTGGTTGTATGTGGTTTTAATTTCCATCTTATTTGGGGTTTTTTTGTCATGTTTTAGTTTCAATATTTAAAATGTCTTCCATTTTATGTGTGAAGTATGTGTGACAAAAATGTACTTTATTGGTCTTTTAGAGAGGGAGGACTGGCATGAGTATGCAATTATAATTGTGTTACTTGAAAATGCTCTCAAACAACATCATCATTTATCACAAAAATGTTTGGGACAATTTATCATCCAGTAAAATGTGTTACCGTGACAGGCCTGTCAGTAAATTTTGCTTCTTGAACAATTAATGAAGAACTTAGTGAGTTAAAAAAAAAAAACTACAATTAATACAGCTAAAAAATAAACTGCAAAACTGCAGTTTGAAAAACAAACATTTTGATTGCAAGATTAGCCAGAGGGCTGCCAGTGTATAAGCTGATGATAAACATCATGGTGTTAAATTTGTTAGATTTGTTATGTTTGTTTTTTTCTAATAGGAAAGTCTTACTCAACTACAAGAAATGTTTGGATTTATAAGCTCCATAAAAAGTTGGAACAACATCTATAAACATCATTCGCACTGCAAAACATCTCTCTCAAACCAACTAAAGGTGGTAAATAGCTTTGAAGTTAGCATTCCTGACAACTGGGTTTGCTAGAGTGTAGCTGGAGTGTCTCTAATATAACATTTGCTTAGTCCGAGCGCTCCTCTGAGATACATATGTTGCATGATGCGTGTCATATTGCCTGAAGGAGGAGAGCTGTTCTGTCAAGTGGCCCCATTTAGCCTTGCCTTACTGTTGTTTGGTCAACCCACTGTGCAACAATGATGCCTGCAGGTTATGTCACAGAGAAAGTGAAGACGGAAAGAAAGAGAGCGAACTGAAAATAAACTCTCAGGGTCACCTTAAAAGCATAGCCGAAGACGAGACGTGCTCCTCTCCAGAGTGCGCTTTGCAGAGTAATCTCTGCTTTCCATAGAAGTAAAGGGACATGGTGTACACAAAGACACAAATACGCTATACTCCAAACAGACCAATATTATTTTTCTTAAATTAATCTTCGGGGTATTTTTTTCAGCTTTGTACATGTAGAGACTTGCAGCCCATTTTTAGTGGAGAGCATCTGTGAACATCAGCTTTCAAGTGTTGTAACTTCTTACTTTTGATTTGAGACTGTACTTTCACTGGGACATTCTAACAGTGAATCTGTGCTTATTGCCCCAAAAAACTGACTATAAGTGTTTAATATCACCTGTTATCAATATTTTTTTTTTACGAATCTGAAATACTGCCAAGCTGGTGGCATGACCTTTCCTGTTGTATCCACAGTTTTTAATCCAAGCCGTTGCTTTTATGAGGCACAGTGGCAAACCTTAAACTGTGCAAGTTACTGAACAAGTTGTTGCTAGGTAACCAAAAGTTAGTCAACAGGTTGTTGCTAGGTAACCAAAGAGTGAGTGAGTTAGTCGATCCCGTGAGAGTTTGAGCAGCTAAAGGCTTTCTTTCCTTTGCCTACATCCCCCAGAATGCTGTGTGGTTCTGGTTCAGTGAAATTATTCAATATTCTGTCAAATGCATTATCAACTGGTATTGATCACATGTTTATTGCAATATATATTATTGATTTATTCCCTAGCCCTACTTTCCCAAAAGGGCCAGATAAGTAAATGGTGGTCCTGTTAGCAGATTTCCTGTATTTGAAAGTTCTAGTTTCAAAGGAGAGACTGAGCTGAAACACACCAAAAGTCTAGGATTCTGTTTTAATATCACTGGTTTAAAGTTCTCTACAACTTTACCCGACTTGTCATCATAACATTTGCTCACTGCTGTTCTCTAGCAAACCTCTGATGCCTTCCCAGAACAGCTGGATGTACACTCACATTCAGTTGAACAGATGGACTCTTAATGAACTTGTAAAGTGATTGGAAGACAATCTTTTAAGATTAAGAGGAAGAAACACAAATTTCTAAAGAATTTTGAGCACCATTTTACTTCCACAATACAATTAGGTAATGTTAAAGGGGTATGCCGCTTTTTTTTTAAAGATCCTGGTATGTAAGCCACTTTTTAACTCTGTAATCACATTTCCAACAATGTTATGATGTTGACAGATTAGATTTACTCTAGAACTCATGAGAACCTATATCCAATACAAAGCCTGTAATCAATAGATAGTAATTCTATTATACAAAAAGTTTTCAATTTGAAAATGTCCCTTAACACAGATTTACATTTAAAGAGCATTTCATTTCTACACGTCTCTAAATGCAGATAATTGTAGAAATGATGCTTGTGCCCTATAGGCTTGCAGCCATAGCTTTGAACATAAAAAAGCTGAAATTTTAGTAATATGAAGTACTTTACACCTTCTTAGATACCATCAGTTAACTGTTGTCAGAGCCCCACATTAATGAAGCACATTAGCTGAAAGTGCTGCTTTTTAAGGGTTTTTGTGCTACACTGTAGAAGACCAGCTCCGTTCTTAAAGGTCTGTCCATCAGCAGAGGGTCCGTCTGGTCAGCCATCGTGTATGACTTTGATTTTGTCTTTATGCTCTGCAAACACAGCATACGAACTCATTCACAGACTCGCTGAGCTGCATGTCTTACAGAACTGTAGGCTTTTACCTTCAGAGGGTGAGATGAAAATCAATGTTGCCTGCCCTTTAAAACAATTCACAGCTGTGGAGTTTCTCAGGGGGCTGGAATGAGCTCACTGCTCCCGCTTTCATACGTCTTACAGCATGGAGTTCTGCAGTAACAATCCGTCCACTCCCTCAGTTTCTTTAAGACCCTGATTCACCATAGAAGTCTTACAGATGTATTCTCTCAAAAATAGGTATTTTCTGAACTGGATGTTTATGGTAGCTCATTATAAAATAGCACATTTTAGTTAGGCTTCCACACTTTTACTGATTCACGTCTATATATAGACCACGCAATGCAACACATTGTTTGGTAGTTCACAGCTATGTTTTTTAGACTGAAAATATGAACTAGGCAACATTCAGCTCCGAGTGTAGACAAGCAACATGATTCCAGCCAATCAGCAATACAGTTTGACTTAGACTGGCATTTATGTAAAGATGCATTTCACTTCACTTAAAGGTGAGTTATTATGCTTCCTTGAACAGGTTAGGATATGTCTGCAGGATATACAAAACATTTGTATTACATGTTTTGTACAAAACATTTAGATAAGCCCATTCTGAGCTACTTTCAGAATGAACTGTCCCTTTAAATCCAAATAAGCTGCTGCTTGCCACGCCCCACAACTCAACGTTCACTCTTAGGTGAAAATAGCTGAAAAAGACACACAATTACACAAATGTACATATTTGAAACGCAGTAGAAGAGCCTCGTGCACAACCAACAAAAATGCAGCAGGTCGTTTCTGAATGGTAAATCACCAACAAAGCACTTGTCTTTTCCAGCATGTGCCGGTGGTAAAACAAGCTCACCAAACATTCTGGAACTTAGGTTGCTAGGTGATGGGTGACGCGCCGCTGTGGTTGCCAAGTAACGGGCTGGGTTTTGCTGGGGTTGCTAGGTGAGGGGCAGTGCCTGCTGATTTGTAACTTTACATTCTGGAGGTTTTTGAAACAACTCATTTTCCAAATGACAAAAGAAAACATTAACTTATTGCCAAAAGACGTTTTTTTTTTTTTTTGCGGTTGGGCTGGTTTTAGAAGGAGTAGTTTCCCAAATGGAAGATTTGTTAATTTTGCATTATACGTCACCCTTAACATTTCAAAAAGCTTTAAGTAAGACAAGCGATACACTTTGAGATCCATTGAAAATTAGCGCACTCTGTATTACATGCAAGATAATAATTTGGGAAAGGGAGCAGTGGGACAATAAGTAGAGGATAATGGATGGATTACCTGTGCTCTGACTCGTGGATTGAGAATATGACTCCCGATGTGGAGAACTTCTGCTGGATGGTGGCCAAGAAGGTGAATTCACTTTTACTCCTGAACAGTTGCACCACTCTTTCTGTGATGTGTGGTGGGGCGTGAACTGCCCTCCCAACATCTACAGAAATAAAATAAAATAAAGGTTAAACTCTTTTCACAGCCAGTGCACCGTCTTGCCCCCTCTGTGCTACTGTCACCAGTATGAGAAAACTATTACTGGGCTCACATGGAAAAATACACAGTGGTATTTTTACTCTTGCTCTTCTTTTCTGCAATACAAGTTTGTCTAGCATATTGTAAAAAGAAACATAAAATAAAACTGTCGGTGTGATGAATCTTCATGTGCCAATTTAGCAGCCTTAACATTTTTAAGTGGATTTGTGCATTTTTTCTTTTATTCCAAATATGTATATGTTCTTCTTGGTAAAAAAATAAGTTCAATTCGGTTATCCATAAGCTAACTAAACAATCAACTTTAGCAGAGTACGGTAATATGTAAAATATAGACAAATATCTCCATAATCTAATCTAACAAAATCTGGGGAACCTAAATAATCTTACACAGTTATGTATGTTTTATATCAATAATCTAATTCAATTCATGTGTAATTAGTGTGAAACAAAGATGAACCAAATTCCTAAAACTCCCTGGAGACAAGAAAATGCACAAAAACAAAACCAACATGAAACCGCCTCAAGAGTATCTGGGAATTCAAAGCTAGTTTGGGTTCAGATGGAAAAAAAAAAGTCTAGTCTAATAAACAATAAGGCTCCTTATATGATCTAAATTCTACAGCTAAAAAGCCAAGCCCTGATATCTGATTTTAGTTTTAGATCAAGAAGGCTAGGAGGCCGAGTCATTTGTGTGAAACACTTCTGATTAAACATGCCCCTAATGATGATAATGATTACATTTGGGATCTGCTGCAAACTCATTAGAGCCAGATAATTTAATTAACCTGTTTTCAGAACATGCAAAACATCCAACAATGACATGGAAGGCCTGTCACAAAGACATTTTCCTGGGCGATACATTTTCCCAGTAATTATTATGATAAACGATAATATTGTTTTGAGACCATTTTCAAGTAATGTCAATGTTTGTCCCCTCATAGACCAATCAACTTTAATTTTGTTAAAAGAACACTTAACACTGCAACTGGAAGATATTTTAAACATCCAAATAAAAACCACGGCCAGCAGAAAGCATAAGTAAATCATAAAATATTATCGGAGTAGAAAATATTGAGCTCATTTTAATTCATCACGTGATTAATTGATTTACTGTGACAGACATGGGGAGGACTTGTGCACATGCAGAGTGGAGGGAACACGTGCCTGAAAGCCCAGAGCTGCAAATCCTGCGCTTCCACAATGCAAGCTTTACATGACAGGCAGTCCAGTGGAGAGAAGCCTGTAGTTGTCTGAAGCAAAGGGCTTTTAAATCTCCCCAGGGTGACAGCAGCCTGCCTGCCCTCACACTCAGCCTCCCCACTGTCACAGCCCAGTTGATGGAGAGTCACTTTTCCCAGCCGCCGACTCTTTTCCACATGCAGTCTCTCTGACCAGAGTCAGACATTAGATCATCCACTTTAATCGACATGGACACCAGCCCCGTTTTTACGGTGAGGATGCGGTCAGACCTCAGATTTCTTAACCGTCACCCAACTGACAAATAAAACACCGCTGTCACAAGTCAAGGTCAACAGTCATGCACTGATTTAATTATAGTACATATGTACGTGTGAAGTTATTCCTCGTCACAGCCTTAATCAGTTCCAGCAAATTGAAGTAATGACTTCTATCCATTAAATGTTGGACATTAACGAACACAAAGTCCATTCTGTGTAAATCAGTTCCTCAGATCAACTGTTTAATCTCAGCGATTAGCTGATACAGCAGCAGAAGACCACACCAGGCGCCGCTTCTACCTACCAACAGGAAACTGAGGCAGAAATCCACACAGGATCCACAAAACTGGGCAATAACCTATTGCTGTGATTTCAGCTGCAGCATTCAGATGCTTGAGGCTACAGCTAGGAGTTTAATGATGTGGAAGATTTGTTCTCTCCCTTTACTATTGTTTAAACACCAGCGGTGGACAGAAACAGAATACGTTTACTTGAAAACTTACGTACATCTTTTTGGGGACTTTGTGACTTTCAACTCCACTACGTTTCTAAAACGCTTGTAGTTACCCTCTCCACTTGGCTTGGCATTGCTTACTTTACTTACAGTTAACAGTGTCGCTTTTACTGGGGAGAAGAAAAAGGTGTTTTTTTTCTACTTCTCCTTTGTTGGGTGAAGGAATGCCTTAAATAAAATAATGAAAATAGATATAATTTATTGCATTTTTATGCTTAAGTTTTTACAGGTGGTGTGGACTTTATAGTAAAGTGGTTATACATGTCAATACAACTGATCATTTCAGCAAGTTACAAGGTTCTCCAAAAGCACTCAAAAATACAGCAAAGTACTGATATTAGAAAATATAATTTGTACTTTTGACTAAGAATTTTCAAAAGTAAGCACTTCAGTACAATAACTTCAGGAAACTTTTGACCGAGCCATTTTTACTTGTAGTTGAGTGATTTGACGAGTATCAATACTTTCTCCTCTTTCCTTTTATGGTGAAACAGGAAACATGTCAGGCACCCAACAAATCTACAGCAGCTGTGTGAGGTTGTCAATATCTCTAAGAAATCTTTCTGAAATGTGAAATCTCTGCAACCAAGTATTAGTGTACTTTTTCTAAAAGCAAAAAGAGCCCCAATCTAGCATTAGCATTGTGAGGTATGACTTTATGCTGTGCAGGTTAATGTTTTCCCAGGTGAAGATGCATCAGCAGCCTGTTGCAGAAGGTCTAGTCTTCCATTTCATTTTGATTTGCTCAAAGCATTTCTCATACATGAAAGCTTTCCCCAGAATCAGTAAAAGTCTGTGCTGCTTAATGCAAGTATTTCTGGCAATTTTATACATCTGTTATAATAAGCACCTCTCATGGGTAACCATGCCAACAGGGAACGTGTTTACATGTAGGTACAGCTGATGGAAGCTCCCAAAGTTCATCCAGTGCCCTGAATAACACCTCATGTCTGAGGATTGGAAGTGAATATGTACAAAATGTAATGCAACATGGAAAAGCAGAAGAAACGGCTAATTTCAACTACCTGCACTGGCAATTAGCTCTTCTTCGGTTTCTTCAATTCCTTATTAGGACTGAAAGAAAAGGTCACAGTTGCGTGCTGCAACAGCCAGTATATATTCTGGATATATAAATGGCTATATACAGTATTTGTCTCCAAGGCTAACATCCATTGATGACAAGCAATTATAGAATACAGTATTGACATTTCAAGAAAAAGATGAGGTAATAATTTTAGAAGCCAAGGATTTTTTTTCCAGAAAAAAAAACAGTTGTAATTAAAGGATAGAGTTATATCAGTAACTTTAATGCAACACAAGCTGATTTTCAAATTCTAAACTTTTTTACTAAAAATGTATATTCCTATGATACTGTACACTGAGACAGTTCTACCGCACTTGAAATTGTAAAAAAAAAAATAAAAAATAAAAAAAAGGGAAGCATTAAACCAATTCATTTATCATTTCTGTCTGAATCCCCAACACTGCAGTGATGATGAGGAGCGATGGAATGGTGGGATTCTTAAAGCCTGTGCTGCATACATTACTCTCAGGTTCTTGTCGACATCAACAAAACCATTTACAGTGACAGAGGGAACAGGTAGAGTGGGATGGTTCGTCACCCAGCAGTCAGGTTGAAGTTTAGCGTAGCAGGCAGCAGCCAGCTGTCGCCCCCCTCTTTTTCCCCATGTTACAGCTCATCACTTTAATCAGAAGCCTGGCGCTTCCTCCCCCAGCCTGGCAAAGTCTCACACATGTCCCCTTTAAGTGGCAGCGAGGAAGAGGAGCTAGACGGAAGTCCAGAGAGCCTTCACTCACCAAAGCTGCAGCAAGGCAAGTCTCTGAGGACTTGAGTCCGATTTGATATGGAAAACTAGTGTGACCATGTTGCTACCAGATAAGCACATTACTGCATAATGCTTCAGTCTTTGCCACAGGCACACAGCAGATCAAGGCTGAATTTTCTTCAGGAGTCCAAAGTCCAACATCCAAGAAACTTGCAAGAAAATGTCTCATTCTGCCGCTCACTCAGAGAAAACACATGCACTGTGTGTACTGATGTTTGCAGCTAATATCACAAAATTTAAAGATACTGAAGTCAAAGATTGTCATACATACACTGCAAAACAAAATCTTACTAAGTATTCGTCTGATTTCTAGTGCAAATATCTTAGAACATTTGAAATAAGACAAAACTAACTTACAAGTAACTTCAGGAAGATGTAGGAGTTTGAGTAAATAATAAAAAATAGTTATATAGTCTACAGACATGTTGTGAAGATAAATACCTGGATGACTTAAAAATTTTAATCACTTTGAATAATAAACTGAACTTAACATTATCTGATAACTGGGATCTATTGTAACATAGGTTGTTTTTTTGTAACAGATTGAGATGACGTGTTGTGAATTGTCGTTATATAAAGAGCAATTAACTGAATCAAACACATTCTGCTTATTTTTTGCCGTATGATTTTTATGAAGCGTTACCGTAATTTCCGGACTACTCAAGTAATTTTACTTCAGTATAACCTAATGTTTTCTTGTGTAATACTTTAAGGTAATCATACTATCAAATGTCCTAATAGCTTAAGATGTAAAAAGAACCGATTAGTCAAAGCTTAGAAACAATGTTCTACTTTAGTTTGATAACTAAAATAAACAATAAAAATCATGAAATAATATCTTCAGGATAAAACAATCCTACCACATAAATAGATCATTTGTTAGCATAGTTTAGCTGTATTTTATTTTGAAATTCTAATGATTAATGCCCGTCTGTCTTATTCACTAGCAAGAACAAATAATCTGTTGTGAAAGAACCATCATCCAGTCAGTAACAAAAAAAAATGCTTCCAAAAACACACAAGGCCTTGAAGCAGTGTGATTCAAAAAATCCCACACCAACTAAATTTCATCGGCCGATCCCCTATTTTTCCATCCGTGATTGAAGCCAGTCATTTCTCCCACATTTTCA